CCGACTGGCTTACCTATGGCTCCTCAACTCCTATGTATCAGTTTCTTTTCTAGTTAACCCTATTACAGAGCCTGTCCGTGAGGTTTACCAGTCTGTTAGTAGCAAAAACAATGGTCATGATGGCTTTAGAGAGCTATTGGTCAGCAGTAGGATTGGAGAGCATCTTGGGCATCTAGGGAAGAAAACAGGCTTGACAGACATTGCTGGGACCTCAGATTCTGGTGACGGCAGAGTCTAATCCCAACTTTTGCATCAACTGGTGTGTGGCTTACAGCAAGTCATTTTATTTGTTCACATAATAGTTTCTGTAGCTGCCAGATGAGAGTGGCTATTCTCTCTCAGCACAAAAAAAATATTGCGGTAATGAAAAGAGTTATTAGCTAAGACTTCCAGTACTATCCCCCCTATTTATTTATTACATGCCTACTATGAGCCAGACTGCAGTAGGGAGCAGAGGAAACTGATAAATGATAATGCATTTCTTCCGAGAGTTCAGGATGGGAACAGGAAAACCCAAGTCATCTTCACAAACTCAATAGTTAGCTTCAAGAGGGGTGGTTTCTACAAAGATGGCCGTATTTGGGAAGGGGTGGCCCATCTGCCTTGAGGGAGGCTCTGAGGAGAGGCTTCCTGGAGGAGATGAAGCCTAAGCAAAGATTTAGGGTGGAAACTGCATTTGTGGGAAATATGCAGTGTGCTACAAACCTGAAGGTAGCATCGCTGGGGTTAACCATAGATCTTTTGAAAATCTGGTTTCTAGGACCTTAGCACTTAGGAGAGGAAGGGAGTTCAGATGCAAAGAGATGAGACTCCATAGTAACTTGAGTAGACTCACAGCATCTTCTGTCCTAATGGTATTACTGGGTGGCTCTGGCTCAGAACTATAGGCTTGTATGATACATGTGTGTGTGTGTAGTGTGGTATATCTGTAACTGGATGTGAGTATGCACAGGTGGCATATAGACAGTTGATATGTAGCATGGTGCACATATGTATCTCTGTGTGATATGTGTCATATATTTATATGTGTGTAGTATGGTATAATTGGTGTGGTCTACCTGTATTTTATGTGTCTTCCTATCTTTGTGTTGTGTGTCTCTTTCTGATGTATATATGCGTGTGGTGTATATGTGTTTGGTGTGTGACACGTGCATATTATAATGTGTATATAATGGTGTCTGTGTGTGTATGTGTGGTATGTCATATGCATACTTTATATGTGGTATATATGCCTCTCCATGTGTCTAGTGTTGTATATCCATGTGTCATGTTGTGTGTAATGTGTGGTATGTGTGTTTGGTGTATCATATATGTTTTGTGTGTACCTGACAGGTGGTGTTTGTGTGCTTATGTGTGCCACACATGCACATTCTGATCTTTACAGAGGTGGGTGGGGTGTCTGGTGCTGTTCTCACTGAACTATGGTGAGTTAATGAGCGCACATCTGCAGCTGTGCATTTAGCGTTGTGAGAGAGAATTCAAGCTGAAGTTTATTTTTGTAGGACTCCATGACCCAAATTATTTATAGATTGAAGTCTTTGGTAATTCAGTCTCTGAGATCTTCTTCCCTCCCTCCTACACATACAGTTATATGCGTGTGTGTGTGTGTGTGTGTGTGTGTGTGTGTGCGCACACGCACACACACACACACACACAGAGGGACGGGGTGACCACAGCACTCAGAGCACCTTGAAGGTCTCAGTTCTGTCCTCAGAGCTCTAGAAAAGTAACAAAGTGTGTGAAGTTACAGCTCAGTGGACCAAGGTGCCCTGAAGGATAGTTAGGTGACTGGCCCCAAATTTTCTGATAATTGGTGGGGGATTCAGCAGCCTGTGGGGTTACACTGAGCCAAGGGAAAGGATAAATGGGAGATGGGGGCAAGAATCCCTTTTTTTCTATTAAAAAGGAAGCAACTATGATATGCTGAGCTAAGATGCCTGCTGTACTATAAGCATGTTCCCAGCACTGGTTCCTATAGAGTTGTTGATCAATCAAGGCTTTTTAGGGTGGAGACTGTCGTTTTCTGATATAATTATTCCTATTTCTGTTATAAATTTTCGGAGATACTCAATGGAGAACAGGAGGTATAGCAGAGGTATTCATAGGGTTAGAGGCATCTGGATTTGGGGGCTGGGGGTCACGCTATGATGGGCTTCTCCCTAGGATGCAGAGGAGAATTCTTCAGATTCTGGCATCTTGGAACACTCTGAGTAATACATGCCAGTATTAACAGCCTGGCATGTAAGGCAGAAGACAATAAACATTTACTGGGCAGTATGATGAGTGAGGTAAATATGCAGTTTAGATTGGAGAAAGTGGCTGGGGGTGAGTGGAACCCTAGAGAGCAGGGTTTTGGTCTAAATGGGGTCTTCTCTGCTCCTTCTATGCCAAGGGAGGATGCCCAAGAAGTCACTGATACTTGCCACTTCTAGGGTGAGATGTGGGCTCTGTTCTCACCATTCTGTGGTTTAACTCAGATCCTGCTTCCTAGAAACACTGAGGTTCCCATCCTGGGGCCTTGCCCTTGACTACTCATTGGGAGAGTGACGTTAAGACCTGGAAGCAAAAATAATCTGTATCCTTGGTTCTAGCTTCTTAAACGGGTTTGAACTACAAAGACCAGAAAGAAATCTAAGTCCAACTGAGGGGCTACTCTAAGGTTCCAGTCTTGTACCTTATACAACAGACTAGAACCCTAGGTTTGGGCAGGTCTGAGGAGCCAGAAACAAGAGAAACTGTCAGGCAAAGGAAGCAGTAAGAGTGTTCTGGGAAACATTAAGATAAACACAGCAAGAGTCAGCTGAAGCATTAGGCAGCCACAGATGAAATCACATTATGCAGAGGCAAAGCTATAATTCACACAGTGCACAGAATTGGGAGGGGTGAGGAGGGAGGGAGGGGGAATTAATAAAGAGTAATGAGGAACTTCTGCCAAGACCAAGGAGTCTTTGTTTACCCAAAGCTCATGCAAGAATCTCCATTCGCAGTACCACACACAGGTTCTTTTCCTGGGGATGCTCAAGCAGTTTGATCAAGGAGTAACTCTGGGGCCATGTGGAGGGCAGGGAAGCCTTCCTCAACAGGTGCTGGGATGGGTGGATAGCAGGGTTAGAAGTAGGCATGTCGACGAAGACTGGCTTCCTTTCCCCAAAGGAGGTAGGACAAAGAAGCCAGCATTTTCACATTCGTATGCTTTGGAATAGCCTTTTCTCCTTATTCATTAATTTAAAACCATTTATTTGTATCTTATTCTATTTCATTCACAGTGTAAAAGGTTGGGTGTGTGTGAACACAAATAATCTCCAAGACCCCATGAGGTAGGGCCTCTCCCATTTTACAGGAAAGAAATGTTAATGTGTAAAGCTGAGGGCAGCTGGGAAGTGCCAGAGCAGAACCGAAAGTTGGTTGGGCCTGGTTCTGGAACTCGCTTCCACTCTGCTCATCTGTGGGGCTTAGGGAGCTGCCTTCACTTGGACTAGAAACTATATCTACACAGTACAGTGCCAGGACCTCTGGAAAACTGTTTCAGGGAAGGATTCGCTGACCCCTGCACGGCGGCAAGAAGGCTATCTGCAGTTTTGAAAAAGAGCAAAGGGTAGGGAACTTAAAGAGGGTTATTACCCTCTAAAATTAACTCATTCTTCTCCATAGTCTGTGATTGCCCTGCCTTGAATAATCTGGAATAGTAATCTGCTCTCTTTAACAGAGGGTGGCTTTTGAGCTGCAGGGTGGAAGTCTGGGGCTTCGAGCACCTTGACCTGGCCCAGGACCTGTGTCTGGGTGCAGAGTGATTACCTGATGTTTTAAGAGAATTCTTAAGACAATATACATGGAGTGTGTATACCATGGTGCAGAAAACGTGCTGTGACCAAGAGAAATGGAGAGTATATTCACACGCTGTATGTCTCTTCTCTTTGCTAACTACTGGGTCTGGGTTTTTACTGCCTCTTATCTCTGCAGCTGCAATAACCTGAGAAGTCTCCTTGCCTCCAGCATATTCATTCTCTAATCTATTCTACCCAACACTGCCAGATTAATCTTCTTAAAACACGCATTTGATCCTGCCTTTTCTGTATGCAAAAGTCCTTAAATTTCAGATGTTTGTAATTTTCTTCCTCTTGCTTATCTCAGTCTCATAATTTTTAAAAAATGGTGAGTGTACATCATTTTTTGGGATATTGAAAGAAATCACACACACATAGACACACACACACACACCCCACCAGCACCACCACCACCACCACCACCACCGCCACCACCCCTTAATGTCCCTATTGATAGGAAAGTCTTCCCGGTTGGTCACTGGAGTCTAGCTAACATGGTCTTCTACCCCTTTCCAATTGCATCCCCAGCTTTTTTGTCCTTGTATCTTTGTTTTACCATTTGTTCTACCTTCAGAATGCCAATCTTCCTTGGTGATCTAGCCCAAAGGCCACCACCTCTTGCACCAACAGCCTTCTAGCACACAGCTGCCGTCCTGTCTCCTGGTGAAGTTACCTGTATGAGTGCAGGCAGCTGTCTTTTCTCAGGTCAAGAACCTAGAGAACATACTAGGCTGTATGCATCTCTGGCCTTTCCAGGCTTGGTACTGCTGTGTGCCCCACCAGCTCCTGTACTGCTTATTAGAGGAAGGCCTGGGTCCATCTGCTGAGACTGGCAGTGGTGGACCCAAGTTCCCGAGGAGAAGGAATGAACTGCTAGGGCCTCTACAGGGTCTGTGCTGGGGACCAGAACATTGAGGCAACTGGACCCACCAAAGGATGGCAGCATTCCGACCGACTCTTTTCACTTCCTGAAAAGGAGTAAGTGAAGAGGTGGCTCTAGTCCTTCACCCACAACGAAAGCAGCCGAGCAGACCTGCCCACTTGCAATCTGTACCTTAGAAAGAGCTGGCTTTTGTGCCAAGCACTACAGCATCCCCCTCCGCCCCTCCCATGCCTCCACTCCCCCTGCACTTGCTTCTCTTAAAAGAGCTCTGTACCTCTCCTGGGGCTGCGATCATTAACTGAACAGCACTTTGCCTCTTGGTGCCTTTGACAGTTTGGCAGTGATCTGGGAAGTTACCAGAGAAGCTGCAGAGAAGCAGGAGAGGGAGGCCGGGGTGTGTTCAGTGCACCAGTGTGTGCTGATTCCTGGTTCTGTACGTGGCCACTCTGGCTCAGGGCATACTGAGAGAAGTGGGTGTCACATGGATTTTCATCTCAGTCACTTTGTCCTTCAGGGTGCTGACACATAACTGCTCCAGACAGAGATTCTTCTAAGAGAGGTGAGAATAAACACTCCTTATTTTGTCTGATATCAGAACTTCCTAGGGACAAGCATGGAAGGGGCTGTCCAGGCAGGAGAGACCTAAACTGTGACTGACTATTCAGCACCACCGAGGAGGACCTGGGCCTTTTTCTAAGGGTAAGGAAACAAATAGATCAACAGGAGGTCACAGATACCTATCAAGTTATAATTTAAACAGATTCAGTGTCAGGTGTTTGTGTGTCGGGGGGTGAGTTCTGGCTCCCAAGAACCCATCTATGATAAAGCATCTCCAGAAATGGCCCTGGTAAGTCCTAACCATGAGGAAGGAGATGGCTCAGAAAAGGAAGGGGGGTCCCCAGCTTCTCAGTGAGCTCTACACCTCCTTGCTTTTCTCATGGCTCCTCTGTTAGTGCTGAGCTGTTATGGGTTGGGCACCAGGCTCCTTCTACTATCCCTCACTTTACCACCAAACCCATGTCACACATGAAAAACCTGGGGCCCCGACAGGGGAGGCAAATGGCCACAAGTCACAACCAGCCAGTCCTAGCAAGCACCTGAATTTGAGGCAGTTTATTAGTCTCCCTAACAAACGCTCACCTTTGTCTTTTGTGTGATGTTAACATCTTACTCTTTCATTTGAGCCTTATTCTGCTGCCATCTGAGTCTTAGTCTAAATGCCAACATAAATTATAAATTTCCAGAGGTAGAAGTTGAATGCATATAGTTCATTTTATTCAACTTTCAGCAGCGTGCCAAGCTCAACAGGGTGCTTTAAAAATTGCATTCTATCTTTGATCAACTTAGAGCTTGGGAAAGCCACAAACTTGGACTACAAGATCTTTTTCCTTTTATTTTTAAATTTTTATTAATTTTTTATTAATTTGTAATTTTATTTTTTAAGTACATTGGTGTTTTGTCTGTTGGATCCTAGAACTGGAGCTACTAACAATTATGAGCTACTATGCAGGTACTGGGAATTTAACCTGGGTCCCCTGGAAGAGCAGCCAGTGCTCTAAACATTGAACTGTCTTTCCAACCCTGAACTACAAAATCTTAACAAGCAAGTTCATTTTCTTTATGATCTCATATGCTTTCATTGTTTGTACTCCACAAGAGTACCTCCTTGAATGTTAGTTGTCGCACACAGTTTCATAGCCTTGGCATTTGATGAGGGGTTAATATTAAAAATTGACATTTTAAAAGAAGAAGACTCTGACTTTGATGCTAAACTGTTGACCTGGATTCTGTACAAGGACTCACGTGATCATAAGTTATACATAGAGTGTAAAGTCTGGGAACAGTCTTTTCTGCAAAAATGGGAATGAGTCCTTCCATCAAAGAGAAGAGCTTTTTGGCTGCTGGGAATCTCAGATCAAATCTAACCTTAGTCCTGAGCCTCTTTTAAGCTTATAGTGTATTCTCCTCTCTCTATTTGTGGAGGAAGGGGCATGGATGTTTTAATTCCAAGTTATTGTTACGTTGTCTAACATTTTCTTATAAATTACCTTAATTCCTTTTTAAAAAGGGGGTCTTGAAAATGTGCAAATAATAACATCTTCCTTTTGTGCTGTATCACCTATGGTGTTGCTTTGGCTAAGTCTGGGTCTCTGTACTGGACATGTGTACTTGGACCCCTTGTAGCCAGCACTCACCCACTGAGTGAGGACCTGGGATGATTTAAATGTCAGCAGGTGGCTGAAAGAGGTAGGAGAGAATTCTCCACACACTGACAAAAGTCTCAAGAATGACTATGAACAGCCTTTATTGCGTAATAAAGGTTTTAACAGTAAAAGTTCTAGATGCATTTGTAAAGTAAAAGAATAATGAATAAATGAATGAATCACTGAATAAATGAATTTATGAGCCAAGAGAGTCTCCTCATAGAGAGGACTAAGGCTACAGGGCAGAAAACCCTATCTTTGAGCCACAGAGGACACCCAGCGTAGATCATTGAGGGCTGAGCTATCACCTTGGTTTTTTTTTTTTTTTTGGCACAGCCAGGTCCCCATCCCCTGCATCTTGTGCTGTAAAAACTAGATCAGTGTACAAGGCATCAGAGGAGAGCACGTGGGGGAGAAACAGAGAGGAAGGAGGTAAGCCGGGTGCAGCTTCTGCTGCCCTTGTTGACTTCACTCCAGAAGGGAAAGTGACCAGAGTGCTAGGCTGAAAATCTATGGGTGTAACAGTGTCTACAAACCAGTCCTGTTTCACTGGTCACCTCCTTCGTTTCTTACTTGTTTCTTTCTCTCCTCCGTCCCCAATCCTTCCCCTCTCAGCTCTGGAGGCTCTGTTTGCTCTGCTTTTGTTTTTCTGTGTAGTTCTCTGTCTGTCTGTCTGTCTGTCTGTCTGTCTGTCTGTCTGTCACTATCTCTCTGCCTCTTCTGTTCCCCACCTCCACCCCATACTCACATCCTTTGATTGCTGTACCCACATCTGTCTGGAGCATCAGCATCAGCCATGGCCAAGAGGAAGCAGCCTCAGAGCTCAGGGCATCCCCACCACCCACACTGACTTCTTCAACCTAGACTTTCCTTCTAATTCCATTGGCTTTTCTGACATCAGGTGGGCTAATTATTCCCTGTAATTAAAAGGGATAACTCCCCTTCCTAATCTCAGATAATTAGCTTTCTGATTGCCTGTGCCGGGCAGGAAACTTAGTGTTTGGAGAGGGATTTGGGGCAGACAGATTAGACAAACACTATTCAGGAAGCAGTACTCTCTGAAAACACTGTTCCCAACGAGTTTGTTGTTAAAGAGATTTGGGATGGGCAAAAGGGCCTGGCTTCCTCTAGGTGGTCTGAGGTGCCTCTCACCTCATGGGGTTTTCCAATAAGAGGGTAGCTTGGCTTGGCTTTTAGAATTCTCCCCAAAATGACAGACCTTGAGCTCAGTTTCTAGTTTCCTAGCCACTCTACGATGTTCCCCAAGAGCAATTCCTCCCTGTTCTCTGCTGGAAGTGGGTACTCAAAAGTTAACAAACTATGTCAGTTAACAGTAAAATGATCATGGTTCCTTACATCCCAAGACATGGGGAGATTCAAAACAAAGTAGGGACATCTCTGCTTAGAAGCTTTAGTTATGATACCTGGAGCTAACATGATTCTCCCAGGTAAAGCTGCTCTGGTCCCCTGTAACAGGCCTGGTGTTCTAGCTGCCCTCGCTGAGGTGTGTTTTGGTCATGGCATTTTTTTCTCTCATCTAATTTTCCTTCCAGGGTCCCTGTGTTCATCCTGAGAGGAAAGACAACTTCTCACAATGGAAAACAGTCCTGGAAGGTCAGAAAACAAGTCATGGCATAACCAGTTGCCAGGCTTGGAACAAATGGTCCTCCCTGACCTTCATGTAATATCTTGTCCTCTAATTCTTAGCTCCCTCTGTCTCAAGAGTTTGGGATTTCAGATGTTGGGGTGACAGGCAATGGAAGAAATTCAGACTGCCAGCACCTAAGGGCTAATTGACTTCTATGGGCTCTGAAAGCCTGCTGCTAATATACTGGCTAGCTATCCAGGCTATTGGCTGTCATGGAGCTGACATTCAATGACCCTAAATAACTAGGCATGGCTTGGAGTCTGTTGCCATTCCTCTTCCCCCTGCCCTATTCAAAGCCTTCAGATCATGTCACAAAGGAAGGGGCAGGTACTGAAGCAGGGGCAGTGCATGGGGACCTGTGCTCTCAAAGCAAGGAGGGCAGGGGGCAGTGCATGTGGGCCTGTGCTCTCAAAGCAAGGAGGCAGCAGTCAGGGCTGAGAGTTGGCACCTGGAGGATTTATCCAGCTTGATGGCTGAGGTTCCTGGCCCTGTTCCTCCACTGCAACTCCACCAATAGATCAGGGTATGGGGGAGGGAACCTGATCATGGATGGATTCCAGATGGGCTATCAAGTTTGCCCACAGACTGTGAGACTCTTCTGGTCTCTGCATCCCCGCCCCCCCCCAGCTCTGATTCGGCTGCCCAGCAAAGGCCTGCAGTGGAATGCCAGTGAAACCCAACCCACCACTCCCTGGTCTCTGGCTGCTTCCACCCTTCTCCTACTTGGGACAGCACATGCATTTCTTCTGTCCCTTCTCTTCTTCAGTAACACAAACCTCCCAGAAGCAGAAAGGGATGAGGCTAAGAATTTGGCTGGTAGCTGGGCCTCCTCTCTGGTGCTCTGACTCATAACTCCCTGGAATGAAATAACAGTATAAGGCTGTGGGTTCAAGTTGGGGACATTTGGAAAGCCAGCAGGTAGTGGCAGAAACTCCTCATGTGCCTTTGATTGTCTGATCCATCTAGTTGGTAGTAAGCCAGGCATGGGACAGAAGATAGGACAGATACAGGAAGTGGTAGAACAAGGAACAGGTGACTCCTAGTACCCAACAACTCCATGCCCCAAGGTGTCCTTTTCATTCACAGTGTGGATAGCTATACCGCGGCTTAGGTGGTTTAAAGTAGACCTGGGCTTGGTCTGTTGTACCTTGCCTCAGACACAATGAAGACCTGCTGTGTCTTGGGGACAGTGCATGCTCTGCAGGGATAGCAGCAAAGAAAACGTGGATCATGCCATATTGGCTGGTGCTGTAGGCCTGTTCACATGAGTGATACATTGACTCTCAAAGAAGACCTAGTAGGCCTTGAGATGTGATAGGTTTTGGCATGTCCCAATCCACTCACTACTGTTTAGATAAAATCACATTTATTTTTGCCTTGTAGAGAGACTGATTAATGATTCCAAATTGTGTGACGGGTCACTACAAAGTATCATGATATGTATAATATTTCTCAGTTTCCCCTTATGTCGTCAAAGTCCTGCTCTGCATTTGAATTAGGAACTTCTAGATCCTTGCATCATACTTTCCTTTACTGAGAACTAGTGCCCCTAGGCTCTCGGGTATGCTCTGGCAGGCTTGAGGTACCCTGCTAGGATTGATTAGCCGGGCTGAAATTTGCATTTTATTTCAGAATTTCAGTTTGGGATCTATGGCAAAGAGCAACAGGGCTCCTGCTTCAATGGCAAAAGCCCCTGAGGCCAGGCATTTGAACTAACCATAGAGACCTTTCTCCCTTTCTCTCTACTTCTTCACCTTTCTCTCACCAGCAGGCTGGCTAGCTGCAGCAAAGGGCTCTCTGAACACTGTTGCAGAAGGGAAGCTTTCTTCTTCTTCTTCCTTTTCTTCAAAGAAGATACAAAGCTCCTTCCAGCCTCTCTGGAGAATCCGTGAGGGAACAGTCTGCTTTAAAATGCCATTAAAACATCTCTCAAATTAAAAACAGTCCTGGAATGTACAACTTCATGAGAGAACAGCTCAATGATATATGAAAGTGCTCTCTGACTACCTACGGGTGTGGAGGGTGTGGGCAAGCGTCAAACACTCTCCCAGGGCTGGGTCCCCAGCCCTGTCCAGTGATGCATGGTTGGATATGCATTTATTTATTCAGTCTCCATAAGCCTCAGTTTCACCCCATTAATTTTAGAAAGGCAAAAGATTGTTTTTCCCTCCTACCTTAATTTTGGTGTGCTTCAGCAAGAACTGGGTCCAATATTCTCGGAGACACTGGCCTTGCCATCTTCTGACTTACCTCCCCTGCCCTTCCTCTTCCTACACTCATGGTGCTATTTTAAGTTGAGGCTTCCAGCCAAAATCTGTACTTTATTAATTACACGTCAACTACCCTGTGCAATGTTTAATGCGCTTTCCAGATTGCATCAAGTCTGCAGTGAAAGCAGGCGCCTGACTGCAGCCTGGGTGCCTGGCAGGCTGAGTGGTGGGCACACTGGAGTGCACCAAGGCTTGTTCTCTCATCTACTTGCTCTGAACTCTGTGTTCCAGGTCAAGCCCATTTAAGACTGCACAGCACTCTGATGGGCAGGTAGGGAAACTTGTGCCTTTAGGAAATGCCAAAGGGCTCAGGACAGCTGAGCCTAACCAATGCAGAGGGTACACAGTGGGACTGACTGGGAAGTGACCAGGAGACACTCTAAGGAAGGCTGGAGACATGACACTGATCATTTGCTCTGCAAAGAGGTGATGAAAATAGGCTTTGTGTTGAGCAGCAAAGATGGGTGGGGAGCTCCTCGTGCTATATTCCTGATGGCTTGGTTTCTACCTTTGTGACTTGAGTACATTGTTCAGCTTCTTCTTGGCCTCAAGTTTATCATCTATAAAATAAACACTGACTCCTCATGAACTCTTAGAAACTTCCCCATCTTATCTTCTTTCTTGGAAGGATGTCTTGGGAGATACAAAGATGGTTTCTTGCTGACTTCCTGGCCTGAAGGAAACTATGACCCAGCAGGGAAGGCAGAGTGTAACAAGGAATAATTAACAGCAAGTAAGCACCACCCCACATACTTACCTGGAGGAAAACATTAAAACCCCTAGCATCCCTGTGAGGTAGGTAGCTACTGCTGTTGAGATGTAGAGAGAGAAGACAATCACAGAAAAGTTAATTTACTTGTTCAAAGTCATACTCCAAGTACGTGGACAGAGCAATATTTAGTAGAACCTCTGGTATTCCTCCAAAGTCTATGACACTCAACACTACACATTTTAGGAAAAAGAAAAAGAAAGAAAGAACATATAAGACTCTGATATACAAGGATAGCTCTTCTCAGCATTGTAACTAACTAGAAGAAATGTAGGATTCTGTCAGCAACAGTAACTGTTCTAAGTGGGCCAATCTGTAAAGGTTCACTGAGAGAGGTGGGATCTGAGTTAAGGCTGGTAGGATAGGGGCTTTCTTAGGCAGAGGTCAGGAGACTTGCATGATCCAGGGCTTGGGAAGGCAGACTTGTGGATGGAGAAGAAAACCCAACAAAGAAAAGGGAGACCATCAAAGCCAGAAAGGTACTGAACATGGCGGAGGTAGTATGGAAAAGGCTAGTGGTGGGGTTTCCAGCAGATCCTAGGACCTTGCTCAGGAGTGCAGCTGCACCCTGAAAGCCGCAGGAGCCTCACAATGGTTTTTAAACCATGGAAGCTAACTTGTAGGAGCCAATACAAGGTCAGGACCAGATCAGGAAAAGCTCAACTTGAGGTAGGCCGAGAGGTAGGAGAGGTAGTAGGAGGTGGAGTGGGGTGGGGTGGCTAGCAGAAGGCGGACAGGATCTGGTGATGATCTGACTGTGGGCAATGAGGGTGAGTCACAGGAGTGAAGTCTAAGGCTTCTGATGAGAGGTGTGGGCAGAAAGCCCAAGAGGCCTGAGGTGGAGGTTTTAAGCTACGCACATTAGAGTCACAGAGCTGTGCCAGCTGAGATGTCACCTCCCCAGGAAGCCTTCAGCTCTCACTCTGCTAGAGGGACTTTGTGACTCTTTCCAATGCTGGCCTCCACTGCAATGGAATCCTCCACCCCCATATCCTGTGAGCTTTTCACCCAGTGTCACCCAGTGTCTAGCACATTTTTACATCTATGCCCAATAAACGCCACTTAGACGAACAGCTGCACTCAGCCTCTGCTGTGTCCTTCTGTCACCCTTGGCTCTTGGTGTCCTGACTTCTTATCAACCACCTCCCAGGGGGCTTGCACCTCCCCACAGAATACAGGAAGACAGATGCATTCATATGTTCACCTGTCCACTCTTCTCAAGCTTATGGGTTCTGACACTTCTATACATTGCTGCTGGGTGGCAATAACGAACAGTTTAGTATGGAAATTGGCCTTATCAGGAGGAGGCTGATTATATGTGTATTAGAGAGTACCGGGGAATAGGACAGTCAGTCTTGAAGGCTCCAGGGGGAGAGAGCTCTCTGACTTCCCTTCCCCGCAGATCTACCACATTTCTTCCTTGCTCCCCGTACTCTACCCTGCTCGATTGTTAACAGCATCCACCCTCAGAGGAGAAGAAGAAAAGCAGTCCTGTCCTTGCCCCCAGACTTCTTTCAGGATTGGGAGGTGTTCCTTGTCCCCACCCCAATCCAAAAGGGAAGAGAGAGCTGTGTTTCCTCCTCTATGGGGGAGCCGCCACCAGTGGCATCCCAGAGTGTCTTCTTTTGACAGCTGGTTCCTGACATCATGTAAGAAATATTCTTCCCAAATCCCAGAGGATCATGTAGGATAAGAAAAATTGGGAATATCTAATACTCTAAGAAACGGGATGATTTGGTTCTTTAAAACACAAGGGCAAGCATTGTGTTTTAGCCCCAGAAGGAGCATGAAAGGCCTTTCAGGGTGAAGTACACAGACTACACATGTTCAGGCAGCCTACCTGCCTGGTCCCTGATCTCTGGGCATCACATGCAGTGACTCCACCAGGAGGGAGCTACTGAGGACGCACTTAGCAGTCACCACCTGACTCTAGCGGCACTAATGGGTTCTGTTATCTCATAGGGACCCTTGTCTGCAGATCAGCAAAGCGGAAGGAGATGGCAGGTTAAAAATACTCTGTTAGCAGAGGCTTGGGTAGGGGCTGTGTTATAGGGCTGTCAGAGAGGGGGGGATTGAAGGCACTGGATCCTCAGCTTCTCTTTCACCTATAATTTGAATTTACCCAGTGATTGGCAAAGGACTGGGGGCAAGAGATTAATTCCTACCAGACAGTCATAAACTGGGTCATGTGGCCTCCCCTCCACAGCTTGTTGTTTGGTCATTAGTGTGGTGATATGCCACAATGGGGAGCTGGTTTATTTTCTATCTCATACCCCTTACTCAGGAAAGGCAGTGGGGCCTAATGGGAGGAGACATTTATATATTCCCTTCAGAAAATATTTGCATTGAAGTGTGTGTGTGTGTGTGTGTGTGTGGTGGGACAGGGGAGGGGGAGGACAGTCTTACCCATAAGACCTTACTGCAGCCTTGCAGCATGACCATGCATCGATAATTACTACCCAGGTCTGCATTTAGGGGAGCAAGGCTTTGAGAGTTTGTGACTGCCCATAGAAGAGGCAGTGGGGTCTTCCAAGGGAATCCCAGAACTTCCTGTTACAGGTCATTTTCTATGTCTCTCAACCTTGTTCTTTAACCCTTATATCAGGGAGAGCCCTATGGGTTCTCCTACTATCCCAGGGTAAGGTCTCTTTCAACTTCATTTGTCTTCATATCCCATGGATACCCAGCTGCCCTTCTTTTTCCTAGGGCTGGCCTAGGGCTGGTCCTGCTCTAAGCTGGCTATAGGATCATTTGTCTCCATTACCATGTTAAGGACCAGAGAGAGGAGGGGAAGTTCACAGCTTTCATGTCCTTGGCTCAGGACTGAGACCAGAGGAACGTGAGGCTTTGAGATGGGACTTCATACTCTCACATGTGGACCAGGTCGCCTGGGTCCCATTTGTCAAATGGAAAAAGCAAACGTTCTTCGAGTCCTAATGACAAACCCATGGGGCCAACTATTCTCCCTATTGCTGAAAAAGGTCCCCACAGACTGACTTCTTGTCACAGCTGAGAGTGCTTTTTTGTACTCAGCCTCTTCTATGGTGATCCAAAAAGAAACTCTAAAAAGGAACCCCCTTCCCACCTCCACACACCCCCAGCACACAAGAAAGAAGGTAAGGACATGCATTTTTCATGTTGAACATAGAGCATGGAAAGGAGCCAACAAGAAATAGTGAGATTTTTGAAACAGAGACACAGGAGGCCAGTAATTAGACTCTGGGATTTTTCTTCCCATTCATTTCTCTAAGGGCTTATGATCCACGTGGCTACCTAGAAAAGGGGGCATTAGCTGGGAGGACTTACTGAGCGTGGCAGGCCTCCAAAAGATGGGAAGGCATGACTATGGACCTGCTGGAACTTCTTAGGGTCTGGAAAGGTCAATTTCACTCACTACTTCAAATATGCCTGCGTGTCTCCTGAACAAGTTCGGTGGAGGCAGAATTGATTAGGATGGCCTCTGCTACAGCACCTTCTGTTGAGAGCACATGGCACAGAGGCCTATGAAGCTCAGTGACAAAGGCACATGAAGCCTTCTAGATACCTTTTTGACAAGGGTCTGGGGTTAAAGAGAGGAAAACCAACCCATGTGAAGTCATATAAGGAGGTTTGCTGAAAATACAAAAATAAGAGCTCATGCAGAGAATTAAGAATTAACCAAAGGTACATGGCTGTGGATGGAGTTGGAGGAAGGCGGGGGATGCGGCAGGCGTGGACTTTGCATCTTTTTCCCTTTTAACCCTGTGGATGCTGACCTCTGGTTTTAGTTCCTTCCCTCATGAGTCCTAGTCACACACACTGCTCCCCACACTCCAAGTCCTCAGCAGAATAGGATTCTCTATGGTGCTCCTTCAATTCTGCATAGCACCAGAGTCTGCACCTGGGGCACTGAGTGAGAGAGAGTTCCCAAAATAGAGAGGGAGCTTGGGGCTATGGTGGAATGTGTGCGCCGACTCCATGTGTTTCTAGGTCACCGGGGAGCATCAGTTAAACAAAGGAAATTCACATATAACTTCCAAGCTTCGCATCTCTGGATGCTGATTTTAACCTCCTTCTCTCACTACATCTTGTCCCAGTATTACTAATGCAGA